CCATCCATGCATAAATTAGTACAATATTTTCAGACTCTACATAGGAATGAGGATATATATGAACTTAAAGGTGTGCATATTGCCACCTTTGAACCTCATCTTTTCTCAAGCAATGTTGAAAATTGTAGTATATCAAATGTTAATAGTTACCAATGTTCCTGTAAACAGTGCTGCCCTATAGCAGTTTATGCAATGTGTTACTCTCTTATTAATCGTTGTGGATACTGGACTTAAGGAACTTTATTTGCCCTTGTTAGTAACCGGAATACACTGTACAAAGTGATGGGTGTGAAAACACATCTGTCAGTATCAGTGGAGCTGAGATAAACCTTACTCTCTGGGCTGTAACCACTTATGTCCTATGTCCTTATTTGGCTCCAAGCATGTCTGCATTGAAGATGTGCATATTTTCAAACATTGTTGTGCAGTGAAACTATTTTTGTTGTGGATTGGGACATACTGTATACGCTGTGTGGTTCAGCAAACAAGTGGAGTAAAGGATTTGTCTTCTCTGGTAAGATATGATGACAGTTCTTTAGCTGCAATAAGGCATGTTCAAAGTATCATATGCGTAGTACGACCACGCCCAAATATACGCTCACACAGCGTCTTGTTTGGCCATTGTGATGAGGTGATCGATGCAGAAACGAAGATTTACTCGGCGATTAAACTCGGCGATCGTATAACTCGGTCCCAGTCTCAGGATCGAGGAAGGGCCCTCTCGTCTATCCCTTCAAGTGACTACCGATTTCACATAGTGTCTATGATCTCACCAAAGCGAGGCTTTTCGGTAGCAACCGTTGCTAAGGGCTGGTCCCTTGTTTATATGCTAATGCTTGTCCGTTATCTTGTTGTCTTTAAACTCGTGGACTCGTGGGTACGCGCGAGCGTACCACGAGTTATTGCAGAGACGGAGATATACAAATGAGTCACTCGCTCACTCGTAGTAGACACACTTCGTAATTAATCGGGTCCGAACTCGAGAGCGCGAAGATTTATCGTTTCCAAAGAAGCAAGCGCTCGCCGAAGTTCGGTAGCATCAAATTACTCGCTGAGAGAGTGCATCGTGCGCTACAGCACGGTTAGGATAGAGGTCTTACCAAATTTAAGACACGCAGGAATCTTTCAAATTGGTACGATTCAAAAGCCTTTGACCCGTCCCGGCGTTAAACTTGACGAGAAGATGAGCATTTGCTCTTCGACTCCTTCAACTTCGACGCTGGCTTGATCTCCTACCTTGTAGCAGGGGCACCCAACGACAATTTTCGGAATGATATCTGTTCGGAACACGATTTGAGATCTAGAATTTTCGAAACATTTGATTTGTTGTAAAATTTCTTGCTTGCCTGCCTCTCCTAGGATTTTCGAACATCTAAAAAATGGTATAATTGCCCATTTTTAACGGATTTTTACTCTAAAAAGGTCACCTACAATTTTCGGGAGCCTCTTTTCTGGCTGAAATTTTCGAAAAGGTAAGTTTTGATCCCTATAATTTTCGGATGACTAGACTTTCAGCTAGGAAATCCGAACAGATGAAAAATTTTTAGGGGATAAAAATATGCCTATATCTACCGTTTAAATACTAAAATACGTTTAACAATGCTATGTTTAAGTAGTTTTGAACTATACTCTCGTTGGGTGCCCCTGTTGTAGTAGTGTAGTAGGTTATGTGTATGAATGAATTTATGGCGGTCAGTATAAAACACGGACTGCGGACAGGGTATAAAATACGGACTATAAAATACGGACTGGTAAATGTATGGTTAATAAAGGCACTTCTTCTTCTTCTTCTTAAGGACTCCCCAAGATCACGGGGGGAAATGGATGTGAGTTTGAGCATTACCTTTAAAGTAACAGCGGAAATCGAAATAAGAAAACATAAGCTAATGTTTTGCGTCCTACTTCGCGGAGGAGTTGTGTCGGCTTTGTATCGCATATGTTCTTTCATTGCCACGAAATGCTTTTACATTGTTTTTCACTGTCAGTAGCCTGAAAAGGCATTAGACTTGAGACTTTTCGCCAAAACATGCGATCATCCTCAATGGCGTAGTGGCTATGTGAGGTCGGGTCAACCCGAAGGTACCGGGTTCAAATTCTGCTAAAGAACTTCTTTTTCCCTTCTTTCTTTTTTTTTTTCTTTTTTGTTTTGTCTTGTTTGCTTATTTGTTTTGCTGTTTTTTGTTTTGTATTTTTTTTTTGTTTTTAAATATATTCTTAAATAACTGTTACTATAAAGTGCAATAAACAGCAAGAAAAGTATTGTGTTTCCACAACAAGGATAGTACTTTTATAATCTGAATTTCTATCATTTCCTAAAATTCACTGTGGGAAAACCAGAGGTGATAACTAATTGATTATTTTCTAAACAACGTAACCACGAGTTGACGATAGTCTTTCTTTGATTTCACTCTGGAAACAATAAAAAACTTTCAAGAAGTCACCGTCGGTTCATTGTGTTGAAATAAAGGTCAGTGCTTTTTACTTTGCCTATATTACACAAATCGGAACGTAGATGATAGGAAAAATTTCGATTGCAATGAACTTATGTGTGAACTTATGAATGAACTTATGTGTGAAATGTGTTGTTTGGTCCAGCTGCAATAAAGCAGATATGGAAAGTCTTGAATCTTTGCAAAGGCGGGCTTCGAAAATTATAGTTAATCTAACTGTGGTACAACATCCACAGACTATCTTAAATTTCAGAGTTTAGAAGATCGCCGTAACGTTCATATTTTAGGTTTAGTGAAGAGGTGTTTAAATAATACTGTACCACAGTTTTTAAAGAATTATTTTAAGTTGAATAAGGAAGTTATTTCAAGAGAAACAAGAAGAAGCAATTTTACATACTTACCTGCAGTAAGAACTGAGACCGCCAAGAAAAGTTCTTATTTATATAATGGCTCAGTTGTGTATAATCATTATTTAGTAAATAAGAATTAGTTTTTAATTGTTATACTGTACTATTATCAACTTATAGTTACTTAGTTTCTTATTATTTATTTTGAACTTTTTTATTAGTCTTAATTTAGGGCTCCTATTGATAACAGATATACTTTTAAGTATTCTGAAGGGATTACCCTAGTTAAATAAAGGTTTACCAACTAACTGATATTACATTTCCGACTTTGAACTTGAATTTCTATAAAATGTCTTAGACTCAGTTTCACTGTCTGTTCCTTTTACCGAACAGTATTAAGTTCATAATGGATAGGCCTGTGGAAACGATGCATGTGAAAGAATTAAAAGAAATTCTTTTAAGGAAGAAAATGAGCCTGAAAGGATTAACAGTGAACAGGGGCACCCAACGACAATTTTCGTAAAATTATCTATTCGGAAGACGATTTGACATCTAGAATTTTCGGATCATTTTCTGACAAATTTCTTGCTTGCCTGCCTCTCCTAGGATTTTCGAACTTCAAAAAAATCGTATAATTGCCCATTTTTAACGGATTCTTACCTTAAAAAGCTCACCTAGAATTTTCGGGAGCCTTTTTTCTGGCTGAAATTTTCGAAAACGTAAATTTTGATCCCTATAATTTTCGGATCACTATACTTTCAGCTAGGAAATCCGAACAGATGAAAAATTTTTAGGGGATAAAAATAAGCCCTTATCTACCGTTTACAGTCAAACCAGGTCAAGCGTTCCCGTCGCTAACAAACTAATGAATTTATTAATGGAAAAATGATTTCGTTTGTTGATTCAATAATCCATTCATAAAATTAATAATCCAACGGTCAAATTGTACCTCCATTCAATAATCAGATGTTGATTTGGTTTATGAACAAAATCTACCTGTTCTTTATTCTTGTCTGTTGTGTTCAATCGTATTTGCTTCCCTTTTCCTGCCGTTTACGATTGCGTTTTTCATTGCCTTTAATCAAAATAACAGCTAGAATAGACAGACCGCAAACGCAAAGAAACTGACAAAGGCCGAGGATCGAAATCCACCAATCACCGCACAAACACTGACCTCAGTTTGACCGTCGTGTTTTCTAAGAGGTCACGCCTAGGGCTGTTGCACTGATTATTGGCAGCAAACTGGCGTACATGTAACAGTTTGTTTGGGTTTGAACTTCAGAACTCGCCAGCACTCGACTCTCAGAAAAAAAAGAGGAAAAAACAAAATTCTGAGGTCAACTTGTGGAAAGTGTAATTTTTCAAAAAACAGTAATCGAATCAACATTTGATTATAGAATCGAGGCTAAATATGACTATTGGATTGTTCATTTTATGAATGGATTATTGAATCAACAAACGAAATCATTTTTCCGTGAATGAATTCATTAGTTCGTTAGCGACGGGAACGCTTGACCTGGTTTGACTGTAAATACTAAAGTACATTCAACAATGCTATGTTTATGTGGTTTTGAACTATACTCTCGTTGGGTGCCCCTGAGTGAAGGCCCAACTTGTTGCAAAGTACGCAATCCTCTGTTTTATATGATTAAATACACTTGAAAACTTTAATGCACCTTTGTCTTTTGTCTCATTATTTTTTTTCTGTCTAAGTGATTGCAAGTTTAAAATTAGCGTCCCTTGTTGATTTTTTTGTGCTGAGTGAAAGAAGTACTTCAAATGTGTACAGACGAGCGCAGGCAAAATGATCAAAATGATCAAGCGACTGCAGCTGCACTTCGTGCTCGAAGCAAAAAGAGCGATTCAGGTCTTGTTAGGGAGAATGAGGAAAAGTTTAGATTTTGTCCCTCTGAGAAGAATATGGATCAACTACTGGACGATCTTCCTCCATTCACGTATAATATCATTGTGAAATATGTTCGAAACTCCGGTAAAAACATTCAGCATTCCCCAGACTACATGGAAATGAAGCCGTTTGAACGTGGTGTCAATTTTTTCTTTGAAGGATACCTTCATAATGTCGGGGCCAAGAATCATAAAGAGAGCAAAACCTTTTATTTCAGAACCCATTGCTAACGAAGTCTACGGAAAAGTGAACCCCCACATAAAATAAGATTAGCGATCTCAACCGAGCAACCTTACGATGTACTTGCTTCACGGCCTGCACCTGTGTCGCTCGATCTTTGGAGTTTTTATTTGTAATCACGCCGTAGGCCTAATGTATCTAGTTTCCCACTATTCCATGACAAAAGCTAAAATGGTCCCCGATGACTTGCTTTGCACCTCCCTTCCACGGCAGTGGCATAGGCCTAGAGGGAAAAATATATCATCGGAGCCGTTGAGGGATATAATTTTCAAAAAACCTAAGTTAGGCACGACTTGTGCAGGTGAGAATACCTCAGTTTCTGCATCCCCTGGTATTACTTGTTCACTGTATCCTGCAATCAAGTTAGCCCCAACTAATGCAGAGATTGAGAGCTTTAAGGATGATTTAAAGAAGATCAACAAGAACTTTGGCCTCAGTTTGTACATGAATGCTGGAAGTGAGAAAGTACCTACCAGAGCTGGTCTTGCACCCTTGGGAGGGTATCTCAGTTATCAAATGGCACCCACTGAAGGAAACTTAAAGTGACGTGCAACGTAGACTTATCTAAGCAACCGGCTAGCAGTGAAGATATACGTAGAACAATTTACCCTTCTTTCCCGTTATCTTTGGTTTCTTCCTTGTTCATCGTCACTCAGTGCTCTTCAGAACATAATCCATTTTAATGAAGAGAATGCTGCAGATCTTGAAAGGGCGACACAAATGACAATCACAGCGAAACAGTAGCCGCTGGTGGACTGAAAGGAAACCAAGATTGACAGCTTCGACATTTGGAGGAATTAATTTTAAGTCGAAAATCGATTACCAGCCTGTCGACTCAAGAAATGTGCCAGCTCCCCTAAAACGTGGCATTGAAAATGACATCCTCAGAGACCCAGGGGCAGATAGTGGGGGCGATGGAACGTCTAAACAGGCGGAAAAATATGGCACAAAAGAAAAGTAAAGAACGGCGAGAAGAGCTCTTCTCGCCGTTCTTTACTTTTCTTCGTGCCTTATTTTTCCGCCCGTTTAGACTTTCCCTCGCCCCCACTATCTGCCCCTGGGTCTCTGAGGATGTGAAAATGAAAGCAGGGCCCTAAAACAGTATGAGAACTACCTTGTAAACAGTGGACTTCCCGTAAAGACCTTTCCATCAGGCTTTGTTGTAAACCCTGCCTTCCCCTCCCTCGGTTGCTCACCAGATGGGAAGGTTATTGACGTTATGCACCTATCAATGTAAACCCCGTGGGGGGGAGTGCGGGCAAGGGGTGGGGATTTGACAAATTTTAAAATTTTTCGATCAAATTCCCCAGGGTGGGAAACGAAAGGTCAATCAAAAGTGTCAAAAAAGCCCCCACCCCAGGGGAAAAAATCTAAACAAACAATGCTATAATACTATATAAAACGAATAAAAGAACATTTCAAACACGTTGTTACTACTTTTATTTACGGTTAACGGAAGCTCCATTAAATTACTCGCTGTAATTAAGTATTTTCTCTCTCCACTAGCATCTCTTATCTTGAACAACAAAATCACTCCAGGAAGATTGACCTAGCTATATAATATTAATAAAACGTAAAATGCTTTATAACATTTGCTCAACATGTCGGAACAGGTCGGATCAGTGACCCATAAAAAATCCTCTGACTTTCATGGTGGAACTCGATTTCAATCGAGTTTTACAATCACATGGGAACTTGAAGATAAAAACTTTCTCAAATAGACATTATCTGTTTAGATGACAGTTTAAAGTATCGGATTATGGCGATTAAAACAAATGAAAACTTCATACCTTTCTCCAACAGCGTGAATTTCAGGACGCCTCGAGGGACGGACTTGGTAACTGCTTCTGAATTGATACCAGGCTTCTGTCGGTCAAAGTCAAATGTCCCGACCCCGGTGTCGCTTTGCACGATCAAAAGCCCGACAGCGGGGATAGTCCCAGGCATCAAATCCCCTCCCCTTGCCCGCACCCCCCCCCCCCCCACGGGATTTACATTGATAGGTGCATTACAGAGGATAGCCCATACGGGATATTAACCGTCCATACAAACACAGGAATTTCCATCAACGGCATAGGTAAACACAGGCAACCAGCCCCTAGCAACGGTTGCTACCGAAAAGCCTCGCTTTGGTGAAATCGTCGTCATATTTGCAACGCAACCGAACGCAACCCAACCTCAGAACCCTGGGAACGAGGAGCAACTGTCGTTTCTAGTCCTAAGGGTGCCACGGTAAACTTCGGCTCGTGATCGGCTCGTGATTAATATATAGATTTAGCCAGGGCTAAAGGCGAGGCTCCCATTAATATATTTATAATTTAAATCAAACAATAAACTTGTATTCCACAATTCAGTTAACTTCAGAGCACATAGCACATTCATGTGACTTTTGAGGGAAAGGCTAAGTGATTTTAGCGAAAAATAATTTGCAAACAGCCCAAGAGTGAACCAAATCTTACATCGAGTTGATATCCTCATATGTACACCCAAAAAATAGCAATCATCTTCGATAACATTTAGGAGCCATAATGGCTCTTGATCACCGTAAGATTAATTAGGCCTGGAAAAAAAATCAGGCCGAATTTTTTTGCGTTCGACAAGTTTACTTTACAAAATCTTGTCAACAAGTCAGGGTGCGTGTAAACCAACCTTTTATATCATTTATACATCACATCTGAGGTGAAACAGTACCATGTTTTATCATACAGACCTCGGACAGAATGCAGTTTTTCACAATTTTGCAACACAAATTGCACTCATTCAATATTCAGGACGATCGAAGCACGCGTGGGCTTTTTAAACCGTTAAAAAAATTTCCAAAATCACATATACGGCCAGCCGGTTCTCACTTTTGCAGTGCGAGCTGTAGCGAGTGTTTGAACGAACGTACTAGAGTTAAGCTGCAACATAATAAAGAAATAATTATGTTTATTCAGTTTTATTAAATGGTTTTATCCATGGCCATGTGTAATCTTTAAAAGCGCCGGTTTGATACGCGTGGCATTTTGAGTAGAGACCTTTAGCATCAGGTAAACCGCAAACCGCAAACCGCAGTTACGCGTTTGCAGTTTCGCGTTGCCGAGATTTCAAACTTTAGCAAGGCGTTCAGTTCAGTTCAGTTCACTTTTATTTAGCCAAAATACAATACAATACAAAAATACATATAGGAATTGTAAGGTTGCAAGGGAGCCCAGAAGAAACCAGAAGGCTTTATGAAGCCTGAGCTCCCCAGTCTAAGAGAAATAAGCAAAATAAAAAAAAATGATATTCGCGGAGTGATACATAAAAATAGGAACCAAACAGAGACTGAGTTAAGTTATGAATTCAGTAACAAGATAGAAAAAAAATTTAACTCTGGATTGGAACAGAATACTTTCTATTGTTAGTACGGCAGAAAGGAATATAAAATTGATTTGAACTACGCGTTCATTGTTTAGGGCCGCAATGTTGTTTTCATCAAGTCGAAGTGCATCACTTTAATCGCCCAAAAATCAGCAATAATTCATTGATTCGAGATCAGAAATCCAACAAACACATCGCAAACGGATACAAAAAAAAGCTAGTTCATACCTTTAAACGCGAGGCTGTACAATTTTTTGAGGTAAAAAACCTTGCCGTAAATCACTTACCGCTGGAAGCCCTTCCTGCGGTTCAAACGTGAACTGCAAACTGCAAACGTGACCGCAAGGCCGTGGTCACGTGAACGAGGCTAAATATGACTATTGGATTGTTCATTTTATGAATGGATTATTGAATCAACAAACGAAATCATTTTTCCGTGAATGAATTCATTAGTTCGTTAGCGACGGGAACGCTTGACCTGGTTTGACTGTAAATACTAAAGTACATTCAACAATGCTATGTTTATGTGGTTTTGAACTATACTCTCGTTGGGTGCCCCTGAGTGAAGGCCCAACTTGTTGCAAAGTACGCAATCCTCTGTTTTATATGATTAAATACACTTGAAAACTTTAATGCACCTTTGTCTTTTGTCTCATTATTTTTTTTCTGTCTAAGTGATTGCAAGTTTAAAATTAGCGTCCCTTGTTGATTTTTTTGTGCTGAGTGAAAGAAGTACTTCAAATGTGTACAGACGAGCGCAGGCAAAATGATCAAAATGATCAAGCGACTGCAGCTGCACTTCGTGCTCGAAGCAAAAAGAGCGATTCAGGTCTTGTTAGGGAGAATGAGGAAAAGTTTAGATTTTGTCCCTCTGAGAAGAATATGGATCAACTACTGGACGATCTTCCTCCATTCACGTATAATATCATTGTGAAATATGTTCGAAACTCCGGTAAAAACATTCAGCATTCCCCAGACTACATGGAAATGAAGCCGTTTGAACGTGGTGTCAATTTTTTCTTTGAAGGATACCTTCATAATGTCGGGGCCAAGAATCATAAAGAGAGCAAAACCTTTTATTTCAGAACCCATTGCTAACGAAGTCTACGGAAAAGTGAACCCCCACATAAAATAAGATTAGCGATCTCAACCGAGCAACCTTACGATGTACTTGCTTCACGGCCTGCACCTGTGTCGCTCGATCTTTGGAGTTTTTATTTGTAATCACGCCGTAGGCCTAATGTATCTAGTTTCCCACTATTCCATGACAAAAGCTAAAATGGTCCCCGATGACTTGCTTTGCACCTCCCTTCCACGGCAGTGGCATAGGCCTAGAGGGAAAAATATATCATCGGAGCCGTTGAGGGATATAATTTTCAAAAAACCTAAGTTAGGCACGACTTGTGCAGGTGAGAATACCTCAGTTTCTGCATCCCCTGGTATTACTTGTTCACTGTATCCTGCAATCAAGTTAGCCCCAACTAATGCAGAGATTGAGAGCTTTAAGGATGATTTAAAGAAGATCAACAAGAACTTTGGCCTCAGTTTGTACATGAATGCTGGAAGTGAGAAAGTACCTACCAGAGCTGGTCTTGCACCCTTGGGAGGGTATCTCAGTTATCAAATGGCACCCACTGAAGGAAACTTAAAGTGACGTGCAACGTAGACTTATCTAAGCAACCGGCTAGCAGTGAAGATATACGTAGAACAATTTACCCTTCTTTCCCGTTATCTTTGGTTTCTTCCTTGTTCATCGTCACTCAGTGCTCTTCAGAACATAATCCATTTTAATGAAGAGAATGCTGCAGATCTTGAAAGGGCGACACAAATGACAATCACAGCGAAACAGTAGCCGCTGGTGGACTGAAAGGAAACCAAGATTGACAGCTTCGACATTTGGAGGAATTAATTTTAAGTCGAAAATCGATTACCAGCCTGTCGACTCAAGAAATGTGCCAGCTCCCCTAAAACGTGGCATTGAAAATGACATCCTCAGAGACCCAGGGGCAGATAGTGGGGGCGATGGAACGTCTAAACAGGCGGAAAAATATGGCACAAAAGAAAAGTAAAGAACGGCGAGAAGAGCTCTTCTCGCCGTTCTTTACTTTTCTTCGTGCCTTATTTTTCCGCCCGTTTAGACTTTCCCTCGCCCCCACTATCTGCCCCTGGGTCTCTGAGGATGTGAAAATGAAAGCAGGGCCCTA